TCTTTTACGGTAGAGCAAATGTATTAAAATAATTTAGAAGGCCCAGAATATTAGGAGGCACACAAATTCAGGGATTTTAACACACAAAAAAAACGTATTTAGGAATTTAAACATGTATGGTTTTTGGGTAAATTTTGATCATAGATTCTAAACTAATTGAAATTTTTCCTTTTGGTAGCTTACTGAGTTTCGCGTTCATAGATAGCATAAATTCACGAGCTCTGAAAAGACCGTATTAGATTTATTTCAGGTCTTTAACAATAGGCAGACGAAATCAGAAGAAGGGTTAAATAACTCTTTTATTGGACCACAAAGAAATAACATTCAAACCCACTTGGGTTTACATAAGCCAACACTTCTGGCTTAATTTACTGAAATAATGTTGAACTTTAAACAAAACTTAAATTAGACTAGCCTAACAGCTCACATAATAAAGTAAATGCGCAGGAAGGCTCTGGCCCATATAAGCCGACAGGACAAGCCTAATGGCTAGAAGCATTCAACGCCACATAATCATATCCCTATTAAGGAACGGTAACAACGTGGCCTTAAACAGGCAGAACACGATCTAAATTCAGCTTCCGAAATCTTCGCTTAAATAGCATTTCTTTCTTCCATAATCTGAATAAGCGTAAGGTAACAAATTTACATTCTGGCATGGAGAGCGACAGGAAAATTGCTTTGACTCAAAATTAACTATTAGTCAAACTAAATAAATAAATCCTCACAAGCTTATAAAATAAATTTATGTGAAACAAATATTTGTCTGGTCGTCTTTGTGATTTTCAAAATGATACCTTCATTGCTGGATTCAAATTGAATTTCTTGCGTGTATAAAACTCGTCAATATAGACTACTGAAGACGGTCAAAGCTTTGAAAGAAAATCTCTATTAGACTAGTTATTTTAGGTCCTTTATATAAATGAATGTGTATCACTATAAAAATTCCCAACTGTTTTAAATTAGTAACATAAAAGTTAACTTTTATTAAATTATATAATGCCAAAGAACTGGAAGAAGGTAGTTTATTTTAATCCATATTTGTCTGAAACAACTACTTTGAAATGAAAAGGGAATCTTTTATGTCAAGTATATTCTGAAATTGTCTCTGTTATAGAAGATCAGCTAATGATAAAAATGGCATATATGTCAAAAATAATAACTGCAGTATTTTGCAATTCATTTAAGTAATATAAATACGAAAAATTTCAATATAGACTATTAATAGCTGTTGCTTAAATCGACAAAACAATTAAGTATAATATAACACATATAGAGAATATAGTGTAGTTGATGATAAAATATTTGTTTTATTTTTCATTGGTATCTGCCGAAAAAGAATTGAAAAATATGAAACATAAATCCCTAGCAGAATAGCTGGAAGAAAATTTGTTTACAGTTTTTAGGTGAAAGCATGAAAAATATATTTCGTAAACATGAAAAGATACGAAATAAACATTCGTATTAATTTTTCTATAACTTCAGTAAAGTAACAATGTACATTCTGCTGCATACCACTTGATATTCATGAAGCATCAGATTGCACTATGAAAAAAGCGGAAAGTTTACATTCTGCTGCATACCATTTGATATTCCCCTTGTATCAGATTGCAGAATAAAAAAAAATAGGAAAGTTTACATTCTGATCAAAAAGCTAAAAGAATTTCTGATCTAGAACAAGATTAAAAAATCATATATTATGTCTTTGATAGATTTTGCTTCCTTTTTTTCGGGAAGCAATCATATATGGAATTCTGATATCATTCTTTATTTCTAAATTCAATATATTTGATTGTGATTCCCATGTTTAAATTGAAACATACTTTTTATTCCCTTATTTTAGGGCCATGATTATCAAAGTAATAAGAAATATACATTTAAATTTCTTCCTAACTAAAGCTCAGATGAATTATATACATGCAGAGTGAAAGTATCTGTATATTTATCTATTTTAACTGAAATATTCTCTTTTTTTTTAAAAGTATTTTACATTAGAAAAGTAAATAGTTTATTAAGATAAAATAATACGCTGAACAAGTATAACAACAAAAGTAAAACAACAAAAGTCAGCGTTATATTTGCAAATTTTCACACGGCTAGTTTCATGGTTTTACCGAAACATCATCCTCGTCTGCAAAAGCGCAAATGAAAGAGATAGGATTAGATAAGATAATCACTATATCTTATCTAGTTCTTTTGTGCTTTGGCAGCTTGTAAGGATCTTAAGTTTTACTAAGGTTTATTTTGTGTTAAAACTATACTATCGTCTCTTATTTTCCACTTCCGCCCAGAATTAAACGCGTCTACTTGTTTATGCAAATTGTACTTGCTAACGCCAAAGTATTTAAGTTGTGGCTTTTTGCCAAGAGCAGAGTTAAATAAAGAGAATGTGAGCCGCCTTGCCACTGCATTTCGCACGAGCTTCTATCCAGCTGCTGTCTATTTTTAAGGCCAGAGGTTTAGTCCTCTCATTATTTTAAACGTGTTGTAGTTTTCAGCAGTTTGCATACTATATACGAGACAATGAATGGGGACGAGTACTCTTTACAGATGAGAGCAGATTCAGTCTGAGTAGCGATTCTCATCGCATACTCATCTGGAGAGAGCAGGGAAGCCGCAATCATCCCTCGAACATCATTGAAAGGGACAGGTATGGAGGTGGCGGTGTTCTCGTTTGGGGAGGCATCATGCTTGATAGTCGTACAGACCTTCACATCTTCGACGCAGGTTCAGTCAACGGGACCCGTTATTGTAACGAGATTTTTCTTCCATATGTGCGTCTTTTTAGAGGCGCTATGGGTCCGCAGTTCCTTTCCATGGACGACAATGCACCATGTCATCGCACAGTAGCTGCCGAACAGCTCTTAGAGAGTGAGGTTATTGAACGTATGGATTGGCCGGCACGATCTCCGGATCTCAATCCCATCGAGCATGTATGGGATTTTCTAGGCAGACGCTTGGCAGCTCGTACCTTACCACCAGTAACGATTCCGGAGCTTCGATTGCCGCTGCAAGACGAATGGGCAGCAATGACTCAACAACTCGTTGACACCCTCATTCTCAGCATGGGCAGACGCTGTGAAACCTGCCTAGCAGTCAGGGGAGATCATATCCCCTATTAAAGACCGGATGTTTCTTGCTGGACACCCATCACAGGGATGTTTCGGCCTTCAGTCGCATTGCGCTCCATGCTACTTTTTCAATAAAGCTTCTTTTTATCCATCTGATTTCTCTTTTAGTAAGTGTTGTATACATTACTCATGTCCTTACGTATTGGGGATCTTACGGTATTAAATGTGTTGATTTGGAAAGCTTTTGTACAAAGTTATATTGAAAAAACCGTCTCGTCCTTAATTTTTGCACACCAGTGTATTTCTTTCAATTCTAATCTTCTGTTGGTTTAAAGTGGTCCGAAATTTTTTCACGGAATTCAAAGTGGTCTGAATAATTTCATTTAAGTAGTTCATAGTGCCAGCATGTCTTTTAACTGGTTAAAATGTAAGCTTGGAAATGCTTAAAAAAGTGTTTAAATCTTAGAATGTTTTTTTAGATTTGTTACTTCCTGTCTGATGTGCTTGGAATTAGCCACAGTTTGCAATTAAAGGCTTAATGAATCTCAAGAAATCCTCAATACTTTAATAAAAATTTCCTTTCTTTTGCTGAATATGAGAACTCTTGCAGCTACCCATTGTAAAATATAATCGACGATCATATTTAAACGTATTCCTTTGCTTCAAATGCTCGAGAAAATGTAAATATCACGTGCGTGAATCTAGCAATATTTGCATTTGACTCTTACAATGAGCTTCCAATCTCTGCTGAAGAAATGTGTGAAGTGTTATCATGTGGAACGGAATAGTTCCTTTTGTAGAGGAAATGAAATGAAAGAATCTTTCCATCTTTACGTTCAGCATTCAGCATGGCATTGTTAGCACAGACATGGGTTTTCTTGCCCAGAAATAGATCTCCATCATGCCAAAACAACCTTATTTGCAATGGTTCTCATCTGGTGACTTTGCTATTTTTTCATGTTTTACGATGCTTCTAGACAATTAAAGATATCCAAAATAATTAGACAGCCACTCTCTGAATATATGAAAAACTTGTTCTGTGTCTCTAAAAACTTCAAGAGCGCCTGACCAAGTGTATATGTTCCAACACATGCTATTTCAAAACTGAGCAGATAATAAATTTTGATATTTCAAGTAAAGTTGCCTTATAAGTATTGTTATGAATTTTTGTGTAAATAATTTCAATAAAACTCTATGTAAATTGTAGTACCTATTGTATAATATAGCATAAAAGACCCTAAAAAGGCAAAGCTTCCCCAGAAAAGTAAGGGTACAAGGGTAGATGCATTTAACAATGAGGTAAATAGCTATCTCGCCAATCGCCCAGCAGCCGATGGTTTTGACCACTGATTTTTGTCGCCAAACTGGCGACATTTGATTCAATTTCTATATAACTATAATACCTATGTGTAATTGTAACTGTATTCGGCTGTTTGTAACTGTTACTGTGTACCTCTTCCAGCCATTTCGAGAAATTAAAAGTACTGGAAGTATCTCGTCGGACGGGGAAAGCTATATAAGACCGGAGAGTGTATCAGTTAGTTTAGTTCAGAGTTTAGCGCAGAGAGATCACTCTTGGAGCTTACGTTTTGAGGATTTTCTATTGTCTTGTGTTTAACGTTCTTAGTAGTTTGAAATGATTATTGTTGATTGTGCTCTGTCGTAATGAGATGTGTGGTATGAATACTTTTGTGAAGAGTTTCAGAACTGTAAAGGGTTTCTTTCGTGAAAATAAATTTTATCTAGCTATCGGTTACGTGTGCATTCAATCACATTACGAACCCGCACACACATAACAGTATTTTCCGCTAACCTTTTGAATAAATATAAGGGCATTTTGGACGTAATTTTTTGTTTCATCATTGTGGTCATAGTTACTTTCCTCCAAAGTGGAAGTTTTTATTTATTATTTTATTTCACCAATTTATTTTTTTTTCCTGTTAAAGTTCAACTATTTGTAAAAGTGAGTACTATGAAAATACCCGGTTCCATATTTATTTCTATTGATTGTCAGGCAGGGAGACATGGGTGACGCTGGAGTTGTGCCTTCGCTGTCATTGTTCTCATCATCCTCAGATATCGAAGGTAGTGTCAGAGACGGAGCACCGTTTCCTTCATCCATCTGAAATAAAAAAATGGAAATTATTAATTAACTACATTAAAGTTCGTATTACTTTGAATCAATACACAGTAAGACATTCACTGCGACTTATTTTCTAAGTAAGATAATGCATTTATTTTATACAGCAATAAATATAATTGAACACATTTAGATAAGTCAATATCATGGGTTAACAAAATTGGCTTCATTTCTTCGATGCGATGTCTTACACATATCCTCACCGTGAGATTCAAGGCATTGTTGCCAGCCATTTCCAAGGTATTATATTTTTGTATTCCAAGGTAAATTAATGCCAGTTTGGTTGTGAATGAAAACGCGAGTATAGCTCATATAGCTGCCTTCTATCACCCCCTAAAGGTCTGCCCTATTGTTCAGATTCATTCTGTAGATCTAGGATCAGCGGTTGCGAAAATAAAGGCCGATTAGGACTTGGGTCAACACGATGTACGTATATGTAAGATACAAAATATTTCTAATTTTAATTGGCTATAACCTCTTTTGTTTTTAATTTAATTTGGAGACTTCCACTCTCTATCTTAAAAATAGCGCTGTAAGTTTAAATTGCGTCATTCAAATTAATCATGCGAACCTACGTAACGCTTAATGCAGATATCCCTTGCCCAATCACTAAATTGTGAACCAAACTTTTTTAACTGGAACTGACACTTTTGACTCCCTTCCTTCTTCCTCTGAATTGATGCGACACGTTTCGCTTAAACTTTCTTCCTGGCCTGACGCTTTGCGGCTACCGTCTTTCGCATAAGACGCTCGTCTGTATTTGAACCAAATATTGCGAATGCAAAATTGCTTTCCTCAATAATAAAATTATATTGAATTCGGCTATGTCTGTATAGCCAGGTTTCTTCGCTTAAGCATCTATTACGCCAACGCCAAGTTCCAAATCATTCATATCATGTCATATGTTTCATCTTAGGTTTGATTTTCGGATAATTTTTTGGGGTAAGAGCAACTAAACCTGGTGTGTTGTATCGTGACAATAGTACAAATGCTGCTCATTTTGCTTATTAAAAGTTCCTTCTGTTACATTCACTGATATTAAACTTTATTTTAAGACTGTTATTGTCAGATTTATTAAATTATCTGCTCTGACGTGCCAGCGTTAAAGTTCAAATAAACCGTAACATGCTTTGGCCATTTAGTTATAAGCGGAGAAATAACGTTTGGAAGATCTCATCAGGATAGCTAACCTCAGTTTCGTAACCTTCCCTCAGATTGTAGGTGAGATCATGTAGGATATCATGGCAGAAAGTCTGAGCAAACTCTGGGTAAAGTTTGAGCACTTCCATCAATCCTGGAATGTGGATACACTTGAGATCACAATAGGTGAGTGCCTTTACGTCACTCGAAGATTTCAGCACTTGATCCGGGCCTGTTACAGTAATATCACATCCTACTAAATCTCCCTTGCCTGTAACGAAACAACTCAGGATATGAGTATCATGAGTACAAAATGGTTAAATGTAGAAACATGCATTGTAATTTTATATTAATCATTATGACAATAGTTATACACATTAAACCTTTTCATTTTAATAACAGTTTCGAATTGTTTACATTTAACTTTTAAAATAAATTATTTCTTTTCCGTGTTCTTTAATGAACTATAATGCAAGAAAAAGCAAATTCGAATATTTTTCTTCAATTAAACATCAGTACTCACCTGCTCTTAAAAATATATAATTATTAATAACAAGGGTTTCAGTTCAGACTTCTTTCCAGCTCAAGGTTTTGAAAAATTATTTAAAATTAAATATATACGTCAAGCAGAAACCATTTTCTCACATTATAGTTCCTTCTTACATTACAATCTTGGTAACAACTACAAATCCATGTCACATGCTGATTAAATCCTAAAAATTCTAAACGCTTAACTGTACCATAAACATTAAAAAATTAAGACTTAAATACGTTCTTTCGCTTCAAATTTACATAATTTACTTGATGCATGTTATCATGAATTCTAAATTATCTTCCATCTTAGCTGTGTGTATTAGTAAAAGTCTGAGGCTAACTAAACATCTTTTTGTTCCCTCAAACATCTATTTTGTTTCAAGCATCAAAAAATTTAATTTTATGTATGGCAAAGAAACTAATAATGCACAAAAAGAATCGGTGTAACGTAAATAAAGTTGTGGGATTATTGTTTAGAAAGTTAACTAGAACCTTACACTTCAGCAGTGGGAAATGCAGATCCACATATTGGCTGCGGCTAGGTGGTTCTGCATTTCAGTACGAGTTTCAGCATTGGTTGCCGAGCCTCCACACAAGCAAATTATTAAATTTAAGATCAAAAAAATGTTTCATGAGAGTATGAAGAAATTTTACAAAATGACTGGCTAAACTGCAGAGACATTAGGCTTTTTTTTAAGCAGAAAACGTGAAAATGAGCAACGCCCTCGCCGGGACTCGAACCTGGACGTTTCGAATACGCGCTGTGTGCTACCGTTACACCACGAAATCATGCTAGAAGGAGGGAGAAAGTACCTCATATATCCACCCCCCTTTTAAAGGGCGACTGAGAATTAGCAGACCTAATGGCCCTATCCCGAGGGTGAAGAAGGATCTTCCATCACTTTTAGTTCGGGCGCCACTGTATAGATATTAGTGTTTTTTTTTAAAAAGCAGGAGACGTGAAAAATGAGAAATGCGCTCGCTGGGATTCGAACCTGGTCCTCTCGCATACACGTCGAGTGTGCTACCGTCACATCACGAAGGCATGTTGGAAGGAGGGAGAAAGTACCTTAGAAAGTATATCATAATCATATAAAAACATTAAAATGCCTAAATGTTTCATTTACCGAGTATCGCAACCACCATTCCATTCTGCAGGACTTCCATAGAGCCATTGCAGACAAGATGAATGTTGGTCAGAGCGTCTCCCGTATGCACCAAATACTCCCCCGGAGCACAGAAATTGCTTTTCACATGCCGGGACAGCATCTTGAGGCAGCCTTGAGGAGCGTTCTCGAAGATGGGCAAGGAAAGAATCTCTTTGTGTAAATGCATAGATACATCTCCCCTCAGCTCATCGGGAAATTCTCGGAGCACCTGAAAATGAATGTTTGAAATTTATGAACTATATGGACAAATATTAAAACAAAGCATGTTTTAAACACATTAGAAATGGACACAGCACAAGATTTTCTGGACGATAATTTATTATAACTTAATTACATTATTTTGAATGTTTCTTGAAATTTTTTGAAAAATTCATAAATTATTTATATACTTCATTTTGTAAAACTAATCCTTACTAATATTATAAATGCGAATGTGAGTTTGTTTGTTTGTTACGCTTTCACGCTTTAATTACTTAATCGATCATCATGAAATTTTCAAGAAATATTTTTTTATATATTAGAAAAGGTTATAGGCTATAAAATTTCTTCGTACGACTTTAATTAGCCGAGACATTAATTAAAAACTACTTTTCCCCTAAATTTTTAACTTACTTTCTTGGGTTTTTCCCTATTAAAGGAATTTGGCTACGGGCCAAGTACGGGCATTTCACAAATATCTATGGAACGGCGGTTAGTCGAATTTCGAAACACATACCCGCTGATTCCAAAAATTCGTCAGAATCCATCGATACCATTTTCATTCGGCTTTAATCAGCTGAGATATTAATTAAAAACTCTGAACACGCTAAAATGAATGTGACTCAATAGCGACATTAGGGATTTTTTCTTGAGTCTTCCCGTGTGGGTCCAATGAATTGGTCATAAAAATTATAACTTTGGATCTAATTATCCAGATTTCTCGAAATTTAGTAACTTTTGTCGCTCTCTGAATGATAGGAAACAATGGTGGTGTAATTGTTTTTGTAGTTTAATTATTTCCAGCTTAATCACAGGTGAAACACTACTCCGCTTGCTATTGTTAACTCTTTGTTGATAGGCTGCGATTCGAAAGCGATGGAAGGGGGGGAGGAGCTGGTTATGTGGTCGACCGTTAGGTTGGCGAAAAGTCAAAGTTCATGGATTTACACGTGGAAAATCATTTTAAAATTAATAACTTCTAATCAACTTACCGACTTGAAACTATTATCAACATTTCGACTTTTGTGATATATTTAATGTTTTATTTTGTAATTTTTAAAAGAGCTTTTCATTCCTGTTATATATTTATGTTATTGTTGCTTGAAAAATTGCATTTACATTTTACTGTGTGCGATAAAAAATTTTGTTTTATCATTTCAAGGCGCTCGAATGTTCTTTATTTTGAAATTTAACGAGGAGTGTATTTTTTAAATCTACGCGGAGTTGAAACTTATTTTAAGGACATGAATGCCAGCGAAGCCGCGGGTAAAGCTAGTTTAGTATAAACCTAACTATCTAGGTGAGAAACATAGTGTATAATAATAACTATCTAGTTGAGAAACATAGTATATAAACATAACTATTTAGATGAGAAACATAGTGTATAAACATAACTATCTAGGAGAGAAACATAGTGTATAAACATAACTATCTAGGTTAGAAACATAGTGTATAAACCTAATTATCTAGGTGAGAAACATAGTATATAAACATAACTATCTAGGTGAGAAACATAGTGTATAAATCTAACTATCTAGGTGAGAAACATAGTGTATAAACATAACTATCTAGGTGAGAAACACAGTATATGAGCATAACTATCTAGGTGAAAACCATAGTGTATTTAGCAAAGTATAAAATAATGGTATTTGGTATTCTTTTGCATATGAAATTAAAAATAATTAGACTACCTCGTTTGGGTCAATACCGTGGTTAAGCGACCAGGTAGTCTGGAAATAATCTGTCATCCTCTGCCTGAGCTGCTTGGGGATCTGATGAAGCCTAAAAAAGTCCTTCAGATCTCGAAGTTTCGTGTGGTACTGGGAGCGTCGGGAATACATCCTCTGGATGATGGCCGTTACGTTACCAAATACCACAGCGTGCATCAGGGCTAGGTGGAAACGAATAACATGTCAGTAAAAGGGACTTTATTTAAAATACTATATTACAAATACTTGTTGTTTTAGACAAAAAGAAGAAAAGAAACTCAAAGTCATTTTATAAATAACGTCAATTTTGACGCATAATTCGGAAAAATAAAAAATTCGTCTTCCATCACTGTAACAGGTTTTTCATGCAAATAAAAAATCCTTTTGGCTAATTATATGGCGTTTATTGGCGAAAACGTTTTGAAAATCCTTTTGTGCCTCGTGAGAATTATATTCTTTTACATTAATGCAGCTTTGGAAGTTTTGGAATAAATAGTACTGGAGGAACAAGCTCAAGTGAATGAAGATCACTGTAGATTTTCACACTTTTCCTTATATTAGTGTCTAAGTAGACCGGAAACACATCTGACAAGCTCACACTTCATTCCATGTTTCTTCATGTAGTGATGAACAGTTGATGATGATAAACGAGCCTCTTTTGACAACTCTTCAATAGTTGCATATTGTTATGTATTAATCATTTTATTTTCAAGCTTAAGTTTTTTGCTTATTATTTCAGTTTTGATCTGTAATTGAAGTTTTAATTTAATATTTTTGTTTTGTTGTTTGTTGTAAGTTTAAACTGTAACTTTTGTAAACTTTAAATTTAGGTTAGGTTGCTTTAAAAGTTTTCTTGAGTTGAAGTTGTTTAATTTTAATTTGAGTTTAGGGACTTAAGATTTTTGGTTTTTGTATCTTGTTGTTTTGACCCTTAAGGTTGTTTAACTTTTAACTTTAATTATTTTAAAACCTTGTTGCTGCACTTTTGGTGTGTGCTAATTTTTTTTTCTTAACCTTAAGTAACTTAATTTTTATCCCTCCTTTCTATTAAAGTTAATCGAATACATATTTTCTGACTGGCGGTAGGAAAAATCTATTGTAATTGTAATTCAATCTGGATAATAAGTGTGCATACTTTAATATGCTGCTGAAGAAACAATTTATATAGTGCTGACATTTTTTTATGAATTATAACGCTTGTGTAATTAGTAGTTTCATTTTTAATTTCCCAAAGTCATCTTTGTGTTAACTTGGTTCAGAAAATTTTCACCCCTTGCCGTCAGCTTGGATTTCATTCTCGGAAATCTCTTATCAGAGGATTTACTGCACCCCAAAATTCTTTTCACCCAAGCGAAAAACCATATGTGCGGGGGACGTGTTGGATGTTTACACCATATGGAGTTGCCCGAAAAGAGGACCCTGTTTTGCTGGACAGGCGAGCATGGAGAGGTTCTACAGCGTATTTTATGGAGGGGAAAATATTCGTTGGGTTAGAAGCTCTACATGGTCGACTGGGACCTCGAGCGAGGCTAGTTTATTCCCCCCCTTGTTTTCATTTGCGGAGCTTGTTGACAGATTTGGTGTGGCCTTGGAAGTTGAATGGATGAATGGAGATAACTGGCTCTTCTGGTAGTCGGGAAACCCCTTCCCGTGAACATTTCTCTGTTTGGGTTGCAGGTTCTGCTTCTTGCTGATCACATTCTACGCCGAATTTTCAAAAAATGCGCCAGCTATTAAAGTGGATGCGCAGAGTTTTTCAAGGAGAAGACGAGGAAACCATTTTGAATGACTCGTTAGCTTTTTTTGAAGAAAGGGACTAAGCAGACGTTTTTTTATTTTTCGATGTCTTCTAAGATGCAGAGCGGGGACCAGCAGACGGTGTTCCTGAGTAGACGAAAAAATTAAACAACTTACCCCGAAGGAAGGCGTAGTAGCACCAGACTTGCAGAATGACCAGCGTTTTGGGGATGACCGGGGTCCTGCCGGTTGGAAGCGGTTGCGGGGCGGAGGGCCTGGCCTCCGAAGGTGTTGCACATTATTAATTTTAAATTGTTTTTTCTATTACAGAAACCTCTACCGACGAAATTGTTATTTCCAGTTTGCGACGCCTGTATCAAGTACCCAAAATATTGTTTGATGCATCCGAAAGGTGAATTTGTTAAATTTGTAAGCAGGTATGTCATTTCAATTGTTTCTTCAGATTTAAGGCCGACCTCTCGCCACCCTTGTTAAAAATGTAAATTATTCATACTATTTGCACATTAATAAACGTTAGATTGATTTAACCTACTTAGCCTTGTAATTATTGCAATTAATTCTTTTACACTGGACCTTAGTCATAGAATGGGTTTAGCATTTCACAACGCAAATATCCTGAAATTTAGAATTGTTTGCATATTTTGTTTTTATGTTACACTATGATAACTACTCATCTACTATGTTTTGTGATTGATACAATATTGGTTGAAATGTTCTGTTATGTTACCCATATACATACAGTTACCTACCACATAATCTGGTATGAACATTGATAATAGTAATTACACAGTAATGATGTTAAGAAGTAAATAATACGTATGAATTTATATTATGCTATAATGATATAACAATATGGATTTCTGTCAACTGCAGCTAACACGTAAATAACAAAAACGTCAGCGAGGAAACAGCGGCTAGTATCCATCAAGCTATTATCATCTCGTTGAAATGTACAGAAATGTCGTTAGCTTTTCTGAATATCAAAAACAGCTTTACCATTCACTTCCTCCACAGTTTTTCCAGCAAGCGGTGCACTATCGTATTTTTACACTCGTAAAGCATGATGTGTTTCATGGGCTGTTCTGTGACCGCCAGTTTCATTACAGTCTAATAAAGGAAGAAATTAGTATCCGGGGGCTAGCAAGCCAGAATTTATCCACATGAGACTATCTTTGCTCAACTGTATTTATACATTTATGGAAATCACTTGTTTGAAAGTATTAGGCGATGTTTCAATACGCCGCGTTTGAAAAAAAAATCGCCCTTTAAAAAGGGGAGTATATAAGGTATTTCTCCCACTTTCCTAGCGTGCCTTCGTGGTGTAGTGGTTCTGCATGCTGGGCCGGTATTCCAGAAGTCCCGGTAATTCCCGGTGAAGGCGTTGCTAATTTTTCATCTCTCCGGCTTTTCCAATTAACCTAATGTCTCTATAGTGACGTCCGAACTAAAAGGGTGATAGATGATGACTTTCCACACCCAGGATTTGGCGATTGAGTTCTCTAAAAACCCCACTTGCCCTTCAAAGAGGGGATTATATAAGGTATTTCTCCCGTCTTCTTGGCGTGACTTGGTAGTGGTTTTGCACACTGGGCCGGTATTTCAGAGGCCCGTGGTTCGATTCCCCGCGAAGGCGATTGCTCATTTTTCATCTTGCCTGCTTCCAAAACTCCTAATGTCTCTACAGTGGCGCCCGAACTAAAAAGGGTGTTGGATGATGATTTTCCTCATCTAGGATTTGGCGATTGGATCCCCTAAAAACCCCAGTCGCCCTTTAAAAGGAGGAGTACATAAGGTATTAATCTCGCGCCTTCCTAGCGTTCCTTCGTGGTGTAGTGGTTCTGCACACTGGGCCGGTATTCCTGAGGTTCGTGGTTGATTCCTGGCGAAGGCGATTGCTAATTTTTTATCTCTCCTGCTTCCAAAAAATACCTAATGTGTCTACAATGTACAAGCTAATCTTGCAATAAAATGGGTGTTGTTTATATACGGTGAATTATAATCACATGAATGAATTCACCGATGATAATATTATTACGTTATTCCACAATAGTAACTTATAAAATTATGTAAAGATATGAACATATTGACTTGAAATGATATTATGCTAATGGTCGGCAGCATTAATATCAACGAAATCTTCGAAAGAATCACAATCTTCGAATAAAATAAGCTGACTTTATTTTAAACCAATAACATATATGTGATAAACCTTTTTTACTTGAGAAATTTGCGAAAGCTTTTTACAAAAATTACAATGCATGCTTTTCATTTTTGTTTTGGCTCCTAGCATGTTTTGGTTTCGCAATACTTCATTGCAGCTAAATATTCGAAAGAACTTTCATTTTAATTTTCGCTTACCTCCTATGAGCATGGTCAGTATTGAGAACACTTTTTCTGCATTTGTATTGGCTGAAACATTTCCAAAACCCACACTGGTCAAACTAGTTGTCGTAAAATAGAGGGCAGTAATATAAGAAGTTGTGATATCTGTTTCGTTAACATTATTGTATCCCATTTTAATTGCTAGCTGGTGTAACCAACCTGAAAATAAAACAACACATTAAAACGATATTTGAAAGATAACTTGAATTTGACAAAGCTCTTATAAGATATCAGCATTATAGCACAAAAAGTAATAAAAGTTTTGCAAATTTAAAGTTAGTGTCAGTATTATCATTGGTAACATTTTGTAAATGTGCATACGAATGCCGATTCTAGCCTCAGTAATTGAAAAATTAACTTTCGTTTCACTGTTTAGGTGGGAATACTAAGTTCCTTCTTTAGATTCAAACAAGGCTTTTCAGAAATTTTTATTAGTCTTGCAATTAATATTTATTCTCTTTGCGGATATACAATAGGATAACTGAAAATACAACATAATGCCTTTAAAAGTTCTTTTTATATCCGGAAGTATAGAATAGTCTATAAATGACAGATTACAGTATTTCCGCACTGAGGGCCTTTCGCTGTTGTTTGCTTCGGACGCCAAACTGCTTTAAAAGTGGCGAAATTAATTGTAAGATTCAGCCTGCTGAGCTTTGTTCAGAGTTAAAAATTAACTTAAATAAAATATTAAATTACAGAACATCCAATTTGACGTCTTTTTGCAGGTTTTCACATTTTAAGCAGAAGCGATTAAAGGTTTCGTGCATGTAAAGATTATTTTTATGTAAAAAAGTACAGTTTTCCCATTTATGCACAAAAAAAAAAAAAAAAAAAAAAAAAAAAGAAGATCAGTGTTAAATATTTCGCTATTTGGCTGCCTTTGATAATATTTTGTCATCTAATGGCATTGCAGGCTAGCCATTGCATGGGAACGTATCATATTGTACCCACTTATGCATCATAATTTAGTTTCTCGTCAGACGTTAGTAACTCAATCCAGAATACGGTCATAGTTCATGTTTATTCATATAAACATGAACTATATCTTATTTGTGCGTCTCCAAATTTCATTTGTGTGTAAAATTCATTAAACTGCTTTAAATTTCAATATGAACACTATAAAACAAGTAACATGTACCTTTTGAAATGGTTCGTATAAGCATGCAGATATATTGTTTCATATACAAACATTTTACATTTTATATTTACACTTTCATATATAAAATTCCATCATCAGTTACACATATAAAAGACTTTACTTACTCTACACTTTTATTATATACACAAGCACCTTTTATATGTTTTTAAATGCATTCTTTTCTTTTTATTTGTGTTTCAAATGCACGTAATACCATTTTCAGCAGAATATTGTTCCAATACATTGATTAAACTCAAGCGCACAGTAGCTCCAGTTTTGAATCTTGTAATTATGCCGTATATTGAATATCTTTAAACCTCATATCGTCCAGCGTATGAATTCGGAGCATTCTGTATTATTCATTACAGAAAGAATGGCACGCATAGTGTATAGGCAGGAATTCTCGCGCATTCTAACTCTGCATCACGTTTCTGCCATAAAAGATCTTCCTCTGCTTTTTGAGTAATTTTACTTGGCATTTACAAACATAATCATACAAGACTATAAAATTTAATGATGCGCGATAGAATGTAATATTATTATACTGTAATGCAATGTACAATAAACATGGCATAATAAAGACATTACTAAATGCAACCATGCTTCGTATAATATTGCAGATATTCATATCCCACCAACAAGGCTATAAGGAGTTTCGTACTCTGGCATGTGAAATCTGCTTGGAAAAATTAAAGTACTATATTTAATTCTTTCTATAAGCTTATTTTAATAGGCCTTAAAATAATAAACTTTAAAGACATTAGATGCTTGTGTATGAAACAGTATATCTGTGTGCTTATACGAATCATTTCAAAAGATAGGTGGTGCTTCTTTTATAGTGTTTGTACTTTGTGTTCAAAAATGCATATATGAAATTTTTAAAAATAACAAGGCATGTTATTTAACGTAGAAACACTTACTAAGTCTTCCTAAAAACTGAAAACCAGAGAAAATCCTCACCTACATCCCAGTTGGACGGGTTCGCTTCGATCTCCTCCAAAGCTATTACATACCAGACACACGCCATCCAATGGGCTACTAAGGAAAACATGAGCATGAGCAGGGTGAGGATGATGGCGCTGTACTGAGAATAGCGGTCCATTTTTTGAAGCAACCTCGCTAACCGTAGGAGGCGAGTCAACTTTAAAAGGTGCATCAAGGTATTCTGTAAACAAATAAAAAATCTGTATAGCAGAATAAATTTACATACGTGCATGTTATCATACCCATAAATTAGATGATCATTCTTCAAAATCAGTTCATGTAAACAAGCACACTAATTTAATTTTCAGATACTGAGAAATGAAAGGAAATTCTAAATTCTCCATCCTAGAATAAATTTTTATGGAAGGTATTAATCAATATTAATTCCTGATATTTAATAATCAGAATATTTAATCAGAATTAATCGGTCTGTAAAAGCGTTGCGTTTCTTTCAAGTTATTAACCAATTTGGTTTTAAAATCCCGGTCTCTTTTATTACTTTTGATTTCAACATGAATAGGTGATCAAGAAGGTTAACTGTTGCAAAACAACTCAGAAAAGTGACATTTGTAGAAAGTATGAAGATAATTTTGTTTGTTGCTGTAATCAAGAAGCGTCAAAACTGATACAGCTCAGCTGAATGACTTTCGAGAGCTAAGCATTTCGGAGCACTCTGCTCATCCGGTGCTAGTAATTAGATAGTTCAGTGAGGTAGCTGAAAAATTAATCTTCGTTTATAATTTGTGATATGAATTAGTGGAAGAATTACACGCTGTTTCGCAACTATCAGAAGTCCAGCATAATCAGTTAGGTGTAACTAAATATCTCAAGTCATTCTTAGTGTGCACTCACTGACAAAAATTCAAGTCATTCTTAATGTGGAGTTAACTAATGATAAAAGAATGTAACACCAGAAAAGACGTCCAAAGGTTACTCAAATTCATAGCAGAAATAGAAAACAAAATAAGAAAATGCTGTTAACAATTTACGTTGTATTTCTAAAGAGTTTAGTACGGAGGATCAGTTCATTAAGTTCCGTAAATTAAATAAGTATTCTTTCTGTTTCTCGAGATCGTGCATCCTTTTTCAATCTTAGCTTCATTCTGCTCTTGTCTAGGTATCTTCATTATTTTTAGTGCATATAGTGTTCATATTTACATTACTCATGTTTTTAGATTCAGAATTATTGGCTGCACATTTTATTTGTTTTTAAGATTCAGCAAGGAACTTTTACTGACAAATTTTAAAATGATGAGACCATATTCCTGTTTACATACAGTTAAATTACGTATGTTATGGATAAAAATAACTTTAAATGCTAAGGCGTTATCTTCTATCACTATTATTAACTTCGTAATTTTCTTTTACTTTTTTGTTTTGTATTTTCTGTATACAGTTGTGTTTTGCTGATGATTTGTGATCATTATTTTCTCGTCGTTCCGCATTAAATAAAAACCTTTTCGCACATGACCCGGTTAATCCTCCCCAATTAGTCGGAAGTTGATTGCATTGCGCATGGTCATAGAATTTGTGATTCAATATGTGTAAATCTGGTTTATAAGTCTAATTTCCATTAAATGGTATGTGGTTTTATCTTTTTCTCAGTTGTTTGTAATTACCGTATTTGACAGCATATAAGACGCACTGGCATATAAGACGCACCCTTATTTAGAAGGCCACACACATGTAGATGTAGAAAAAATTATGTGTGTCTAGATCTTTATCCGGGCTAAAAATAGCATTCAGTATTGAAATTTAACCTGTGTCCTTCACGTATAAGACGCAGGTAACTTTTTTGAGACCAAATTTAGGAAAAAAAGTCTTATATGCCGTCAAATACGGTAGCTAATAAGACTTCATCGGCGATAAATCGAAAAATAAACAGCCTAAACACTTACTAGTCATGCGTTCAGTATGAAGATGACATATTTAATAGGCTAGAAATTACAGAAGAGTAAAACCAATGTGTGTCTGAATTTTCTTTTATTATTATTTTTTTGCTCTTGCTGAAATTTCAAGTGTAAAATTTGATGGCGATTTTCCATTGCGTGATATTTACCACTAATAAGTTCGAAGAAGATAAATTATTCAAATTCGGAGAGATAAGTTCCAAGTTCGGAGAAGATAAGTTATTCAAATACGGCAAATCACGTGAAGGATATCTGCCTAAAGGAAGGGCTGCCTTCGCGGAGGACCTGCTAAGAGAATCTACTCATATTCCCGTTTCACATGTTGAAATCCACGGAAACGAACCATGCAGACAGCTCGTTCGCTCAGGATCGAACCCAAGTTGAATTTCTCTTAGTCAACGGCCTTACCCACTAGGGCAATTTTGGGGCTTCCAGGTTCTTAGTTTAGACTTCTTTAAACTGATGCAATTTATATAATTCCTATGCTTTACAATTTATATAAATACTTCCTGTTTTTTGCATAACATAAAAATTAAACATTTTCAAGTAAAGATGAAACTAGTAGTTACTTTACTTAACTATGCTATGTTTTTTCAAAGTAAAGTTCTTCTAGAATCTGAAAAATTAAGGCATCGAATCTGTTTAATTTCGTTATTGCAACACACTAGCTGTGCATGATACACAGAGTTTGATAATAAAACTAACAAGAATTATAAGGAGGATTTAAATGATACGGAATTTTAGAGTTTTAATATTTAATTACTACTACTACTAATAGTAAAACGTTTATCTAGATTTCAGCAGATATGAGTTCATCAGATTGATCAGATTTTATTAAAAATTCATTAAACATTATGTGAATTCCTTTCAACGCTTAACTTAGCTGAGTACGGAATTCAAAATTTTAAGGCACAGAAATAGTGCGATCACAGTGAAAGTATATGAGTTTGAATATTAGATCTGTAGCCAATTTAAAGACTATAAATAAAATACCAATTTTTGATTTACTATTTTATACTTTACTAAGGCATTTAGCAGAATATTTATTTATTTCGGAAATTAGTCAAAATCTGGAATATTTGCAATTTGTCTTTGTGAATGTATATACGTTTTTTGTTATTATACATTAGTATCATCAGACTTAAATTATTTGGATAGTTATTTAGTTGCGATGTTGTTCTACAGATTAAAGTCTTAACTGATCTGTGAAGCCGCCAACATTCTCAAATTCGAAAGAATTATTCGAATTCGTCAAAGAAGAGCACTTTTGTTACAAAGTAAAGTAGTTCGTAATTACGACACGAACTCAAGATCTGTGCTTGACGGTCTTCCAAAGACTTCGCATCGCTTCTGATTCGACCCGTAGATGTAGCCATGAGTAAACCTCCACTAAAACATCGAAAGCCCAGAGATTCATATATCAACATCCGCTTTGAAGCCGCCACAATGGTGATTCGGACGTGATAGGAATACGCACATCCTCCACCTGCCCTCCTCTCGAAAACTGACAAACTACGTCTCTAGCGAGACCCACGGTAGAGTTGAATTACTTGAATTCGTCACAGAAGAGTTCTTTTGTTACAAGGTATTCCGCTCTCACGACACGGACTCAAGTTCTGTCGTTGACGGTCTTCCAAGTACTTCCCATCGCAATTAGACCCATCGATGCTGCTACGAGCAAACCTCCGCTAAAACATCGAAAGCCCAGAGATAGAGTGCCATAAATCAACAACCGCTCTGCAGCCGCCACACTTTCAACTGATTAGTATTTACGTTACACATGAGTAAGACTACATTTACGAATGGAAGTTATGGAAGATGATTATTCCGTTGCTAAAACTTAAAGGTTTTAATGCAATAATCTTCCACTTCTATCTCCTTTTCGCTCTTACCTCCTTTATGATGAAAGACCACCACCAGTGACAGTGGTTAAGACCGCTAAATACTGAGAATTCGATTTGGGTTCGATTGGAGACGAATGGGCTAGTTGCTTGGTTGTTTTTCTTCGTGTGTAACATGAATACAACTCATATTCCCTTAGAAAATCCTTCATGAATGCTTCCCTTAGGCAGATAGATCTGGCGTACTTTGCCAAGTTTCACTAACCTACTCCCCCCAAAAAAAACTACATAATTAAAGTGCGCAGATTTACTTATTTTTCTTTATATTAGAAAAGAAACATAGTTGGAAAAAAGTGTTACTTATACGTAGGCAATATATGAAAAATATTTGCTTACTCTACTGTAGAGGTTTGCAGCATAAAGGAGATCGAAAGGTAAGGCAGCAAGGAGATCGACAATGAACCAGCCCCTGACGTAGTTGATGGCAATAGATTTCGGCTTCGCCACCACTTCGCCTTTCTTGTTCACATAGGTTGTTCGGAAGTTTAGGATAATATCTGTAAAAATCGCATGCATTTCGTTATTGCAGAAGCTTTTGTATAATTTTAATATCAGAAAGAATGCATATAAGGTAAAACAAATTATTCATTTTTGTAACTTCTCTTTGTAGTACAAAGCTAAATGAAAATACATACTGTTAGATATTGATTCAATGTTCTTAAAAGCTCTAATGGGTAGATGGTATTGATGAAACATAAAAAAAAGATAAAAGTCTGCTTTAAAATTTATGATATTTTCTTTTACTCAGAAGTCCTTGAATTGTTCTGGGGGGGGTTGTCAAGTGGCTTGTGGAAAATGCATCTGAAACAGATTCTTTGATCTCTAGTGCATAGTACTAACTAAGTAAGAAACATTATTTTTAATGTGTTTATACATAAAAGCTTCGACTTGAGCATTTTATTTGTTCTTTCAGTGGAACTGGATTAGTAGGCTGTGCAATAGCTTTATTCCATGAACCGTTTCCCATTTACTACAGATCTTTTCAAACGCTTCAATAAATTAACCAACAGAAGATTTCAATCCAACAACTGTAGTATACTGTGTCGTATATGGAAAACAGTAAAGTAGCTCTTTTATAATTGACATTAAATACAATTTTTCTAATTATCTGAAAAATTATCGTAGCCCTTTTAATATGTTTTCTACCATATTTCTAAGAGAACAATCTCTGAAAACATTAAGAATCATCTGTTTCATTATTATTTGATGGAATAATAATGAAAACATTAGTTGGTCATATTTCTGGAATTATGAGCATTTTTAATTAACTTGCTCGACTATCAGTTTAAATTTAAATTTGCCTAAAGGTATAAGTATTGTATTATAGATTTTCGTTACATCTGCAACCTTCGAACATATGTGTTCGCAGCATAATGCGACGTACAACAGCAAGCTTAGTGTATTGTTAAAATTTATAATAAGGTTCCTTCCTTGCAGCTCATTGCTGATTTTAGCAAGGGTGTCATAGCTAAAATGTGATTTTCATCAGCCTTAAGCCATATTTAATTCAATTTTTCTTCTGCTCTAAGTCACACTGAACACTATAAACTGATTTATAGTTTAAAGAAAGAAAAAGTTCTTCAAATTTAGCTAATGTCTTATTGTCCAAACTTCATTCCAAACGCAGAAACGTCATCACCGGGTTCTGTTACTTTGCAATAAAATCTTTAGAAAATGATCGTAATAATAGATTATTATTATTGAATATTCAGAAACATAATGTATTATTTGCTTAACACTTATTAAAAATATTTTTAAAAATATTTTTCTAGTCTAATACTTATCAGCAAATAATTCTACATAATATTTTCTGGAATAATTAATTAATAGCATCGTTCAAGTATAAACAGGAGAAACTTGAGCTATTGAATACAGTGAAACGACTTGCAGTCTATTTCTCTTTGTAATCAACTGCCATTGAAAGACACTTGTTCTTGTTTACATGAAGTTTCTTTAATTCCAGAACAATAAAAGGTTTTTGATTACATGCTAACCCATTCTTGCACAGAATCATTAATTTGTTCATTAGATTTTAGCTAATTTTCGACTTTCATCATCAAAAACGTACATCAACCACATAGTCTAGACCAGTATTTCCCAAACATTTTCGTGTTATGACCGACCTAATCCTTTCTAAAATTCTTATGCTCCCTCCTAGGATATGCATAATTTTTAATACTCAAAAATTGAAATGTTTACGAAAGAAATTTGAAAGATAGGTTTTAGGAAGAAATTACTAGAAAATTTTGCGAGCAAACACAATAAGTCAAATTTCAAAACATATAATAGAGAAGTGAAATTCAAGTTCAAAATTATTTCAATGAAAGCTTTTTTCTATTATATTTTAAGTATTAGTAATTACTTATTATTAACAGTCGCATCGCGAGCAGTGAACAGAGATTTTAATTTTACTCTCTTTCAAAGATTTTCTTAAAAGTGTGAAAATATTCAGATCTGAATTAATATGAGATTATGTTTCGCCTTGAAATATACATCAAGAGGACCTCCTTTCATTGATTCGTTGGTGAGGCATTGTTGGCATTAAAGACAAAAAGGTAACCGTTCATTTTGTACAGCGGGTTTCATACTCGATGTACACGAAAATATTCCTCCGAATATTGAAGAACTTTTGTATTACTTGCACTATTCACTTTGCTAAGGGCTGAAGGAAATAAATATAAGATCAATCCCCTTAAACTGTGGATGAGCCCATTTTCGAACTGACCCCCTTAACAACTGAATTGCCTTTCCCATGGATCGTGGGCCCCACGTTGAGGAACACTGCTCTAGACTGAGAGACGCACTTTACTTTCAAAATTACATTTTCTTTAAGTCTCAAATAAGTACAAAACGAAACTTTCGTTAGTCAAAACTACAATAAAATCTAAGGATGATTTGTTCCACTGCGACGTAATGATCTCCTGTTCCAACATGCTGATTACAGCTAAGAGGGCATGATGGAAAGAGAGGAAACTAGCACAGCTTTTGAAAAGTTGAAATAGGCATGCGCTTACCCAGTGAATCATGATCACGTTTAACTTTTTACAGTTTATAAGAATGAGGCATGAAAATTCCTTTTTATAGTTGAATGTCTCTCAGAATACATACATGCCAAAATTTAGGAATTTTTAATGAATTCTTTTCAACAAATAAATTTTATATAGGTTTCGAAAATTTCATATTTATACCCAGGTGGGGACAAAATTAAATATAGCAGGATGATTATTTACTTCTTTCACTTCAAGAAGAAATGATTTTCTATTATTACGCAAGTGTGCACAAAGTTAATAACCAATAAGCAAATTATTGGTACACTGCACAAAAAAAAGGGGAGGACAATTCTATATCTCCTGTTGTACTAGGCCGATTGACGAAATTCAGCTTGCGTTTCTCATGCCTCGAAAGCGCGTCTTAGGATATGTATTAGATTTATATATATCAATGTTCTAATATAGCTATTTTGACTCAAAATCGGATTTTTTCTGAAATAACATACCTAGTTTTTTCCATATTTCCATTCTACGATTGAAATTACACCAAACTACCAAGTTTTGTAAAAATCGAACGAATAACTTTTAAAAAATTAGCTCTCAAAATTTTTGCTCCTTAATGTTAATTGAGTCTAGTATATACTTATTAATCTCTCTTTTTTATTAAACTTATTTGATTTTTCATTTCACATTTCGAAAGTCAGGTTCAAATGAAATTTACTCATTATTTTTAAAATTTGTACTTTTAAATATTTTTTAAAAAATTTTTCAAAACAATTTTGAATTATAATCTATAGCATTTTTACCATCAAGTAGACGTATTTCTAAGCACACCTGCAAAAAATTACCGTTTATTATTCAAATTTTCCAAAGATATATGTGAATTTATATATTGGTGCGTTTTGAAATTTGACATATTTTTGAAAGCGATAAAACATCAAATGTGTTTAGACACTTTGCTAAAATTACTTGACAGTAAGAACGAAGTGGCTTTTTTTCCGCTCATACACAATGTAAAAAGGTAGAAACGAGGTGTTTTTTTCCGCTCCGGCATAATGGAAGGGAAAGGAAAATTGATTGCCATATATTAAGAAGTTAGTCAAGTGAATTATTCTTGTGTAAACTGAAAAATATTCGCCAAGATAAATTTTTGAATTTCTCCGTAAATTGTGCACGAAATTTTACAAAATTTAATATTTATGCATAATTTGAGTCGTAGAATCGAAATATAGAAAAACATTGGTATGTTATTTTAAAAAAGGTCTAATTTTGTGTCAAAATACCTATGTTAGAACAATGCTATATGTAAATCTAATACATATTTTAAGTCGCGCTTTCGAGACATGAAAACCGCAATTTGAATTTCGTCAATCTGCCCAATAGAATGGGAGATATAGAACTGTCCCTTTTTTCGCAGTGTACATCATATTAGTAGAATCGCTCACCGTTTCCCCCCAAAAAAGTCTAGTTAGATTCAGAAGTTATTATTTTCTACGATTTCATATACCATATACGAGTAAGGTGTATTAAATTTTAAAGGCATTAGGAAAAATGAATTACCACAAAATTTTCCCTGTTACTAAAGCAAAAATACCTATAAAGAAAAAAAACTAAATTGTTTTCCATACCAACGATAAAAATAGACTCCATAATCACATCAGTGATGATTGTCTTGTTGAACAAAGGAGTCTCCCCCGTGTCTCGAAATGTAGCGCTGTATGGAACAACGATAGCGACGTAGAAAGTTCCGACGAGGATCAGCCAATCCCAGCACGTCTTGAACACACCGTAATGAGACAAGATGAAACGAGACTTCTTAATAGCTGCGGCTTTGTATTCCGGTAGAGCCGTCGTATGCAGCAAGTTCTAGATAACAAAAACAGGAACAGAGAAAAATGCAATTAAGATTAACAGGAAGCTTAAAATTCATTTGCTCCAAATAATACAGAAAAGGCACGCATTATTTTCCCAGACGAACAATGAAAGACTCAGCATTTAGGCCTTGCAGTGAAAAATTGAATCAAGCAGAATGATTTCATCGCGGAAGTGAAACTGAAATGCCTGAATGGAAAATATTCTTTCTTTATTAGTAGCGACGCCATAAAAATTTAATTAGTTGGAGCGTGATGAATGAAAAGGAATGTAATTAAAGGATAATTTGCTGAGGAAATTTTCGAGGCATAAATATTGAAGGAACGTTGCTTACTTCTGTTATTATATCGATGTGCCTCCAGAAGCAAAAGCTAATCTTCATTGCCAATGTCATGAAATACTCTAAATTTTAAAATTCTGGAGAGCAAAGAAAATAATCTAATTTTTAAGTTTATCTACGCTAGGGGTTTAAATCTTTATTTGTATTCAAGTATAAAAACGTTAATTCATAACGCTGGTACTATGATCATGATACGCCTTAAATTAGATAAAATTAATCAGAGCACAGTACACGGAATGAAATTGCAAGCTCTTTCTTTTCGGAATTATTCTAAGCACAGTTAGTTTAAAGATACAATTTTCATATGGATATGTAACATTCAGATATATATCATTGACTGAATTCCCGAATTGGATAGTTATCCTTGCCAAAAGATCAAAATAGATCAGTTGGTCCAAGTGTGCCAAAATGATGAAGTTTTGCGGTTCTTTTCCTAGAGAGAAATGGATTTATGAATAAAATTATTGGTAGAAAATCACTCGTTTTTATATTATAAATACAGAAACCATGAAAAGACACATGCAGTCAAACAAACATAGATGCGCGGGAATCTTAAGCGCAGATATTAGTGTTTGGCAGAGTTGGACTTCCATATTACTCTGATTTATGTATCCGCACTCAGGAAGTTAATTTGAAGCAGGCGGAATATTTACCTTACTATCCAGTAGTCCATCATGCACTAGACCTTCCATGTGATCGCAGGTAAATAAACTGGGAGAATGTGTTCACATTGAAGTGCTTCCGACTGTTATGAATGAAATGTGTTGGGGTTCTGTCATGCGCAAACTTATATCATGGCGCAGCGACTGTGGGACATTTTTTTTTCTGTTGCACACATCTGCATCTCCCTGATTCATTCTTAAAAGCCGAGCTTGAAAGAGGATTGTTGAAACGTTGGCAACATAGAATACTGACAGAAGAGTCCGTAGAATTTACCCCAAAATAGGTCTGCTTCTAAGAAGTGGCTCACCTCACTTTACTCAGTTTTTAACAGGGCATAGGCCTTTCATGACTTGTTTGCATCGCTTTGCGTAACGGGAAAGTGAGTACTCATGCTGGGTGGCTTAAGATCCGGATCATTATGTGTTCGTTTGGCAGAGAAACTGCAGAACATCACCTTAGACAGCCAGCAGAGATGCACGTCCGTGCAAGGGGTGATGTTGCTTAAAAAATCTTTTGTAATTTTAACAAATCCAAAATAATTTTTTAATGTTTACTTTCAATATCATTATTTTATATTTTGTTTCTCAATTTCTTTTCCCGGTTTAGTTATAATTATTTTTACTTTATATCGCCTTAATTAGGAGATAGTGGCTATTGATTCTTGCGTATTTGTTGACATCGCGACTTTAGCTCTTGTCTCCATTTCTGAAGTACCACTCTTGATTATTGAATATAATTTCACATGACTAGAATTTTTTCACATTATACGAAAATACTAAAGGGAATCGCAATGCACTTTTCTGAAAAAGTTTCACGGGTAGGCATATCACTAGACGAAACGTGAAGTCACACTCGATGACACTTTTCAACACTGCACACTTGGAGACACCTCATTTCATAGCCGACGAAAAGCAAAGCACAGGGAGACCGCTTCTGTCTCTACTCCTGTTAGGATCTATGCCGCCGCTCTCATCTGCCTCCCTTTTTTAGAATACTATGATGCAGTGAATTTAATCAGAATGATAATATGCCTTTTGACTTGAATAAAGATATGGAGCTATAAATTTAAGTTCTTCTGTGTCATTTCATGCCAAGCTTCATTCCTGTGCCCGACTGCCAAAGTATTACAGCTTATTAATTAGCCGGTAGGATATTTTCTGCGTGGAAAAAGCTTCTCTGGAATTATTTTCTACGGACTTGATATATATTCTACGGATGGATATTTCTGGACTTCTGTGTAACCGTAACATGTTGCTGAAAATAAAACTGAAGATTTAATCTGCCTTCGTCTCCAATTTCCTAGTCATTATGGATCAGCACTTCTACGCCATCAAAATTCCTGTTCCTGTATATATTACATATATATATTAGTTATCTTTTAAATTAATGTTATCTTTTAAATTTTAAAATGTCATGTGTTCTAATTTCAATCTTGAATAATAGTGTATATTACATTACTTAATGTATTATTTTATCTTTTTATATCAATAACTCTCTTAAATTTTAATTGTCGCACTCAAAGTGTTACGTAGCTGATCGTACCAAATTTATCCATGTCACACAGTCATATCTTTACCTATATTGTAATTATCTATAGAATCCATTAACTGTTCACATTGGAGAAGCCCATCAACATTATTTAAGTTGTATCAATCTATCTCCGTACACGTTGACACTGAAATTATTCTCCTTGCCCGAATTGCACTATTCTTCCATCGCTGAACCATTGATTTGTTTGGCCCTCTTTTTTGCATCCCTTACTACTCCTTAAAGTACTAGTCTTACACAAAACACAACCAAAGTGTTTCGCTAACTTCTGAAAAGGTCTGAAATGCAACAGTTTATTTGACCTTCCGCCAAACATAAGCCTGGGGAGCCTGTAATCCAGAAATTTTTGTAGCAAAGTTAATTCCATCAGTGGGGACACCTGGCTTATATGTTAACTGCGCTCCGCCGTCGATGAAAAGAAAGGAAGCTACCGCAGTCGTTCGAGAGACACCCGAAATATTTGAAATATTTTAAAACGTGCGTAATTCCATTCGCCGCTGATGTCATGCTAGTGTTACAGCTGGTGGCCGAAACTTTGACCTCCTTCTGTTACCTCCATTAATATCGTAATAATTACATTTTGATGATTGAAATAATGTTCTTCACATAGGTATTGCTATTTAATTTCTATTATTGTCTGCATATTACCACATGACGAGGCAGATAGCAGTCGCAAGCTTTTCCGTTCTCAAATAAACTAAAATCAAATCAAACTTTACGTAACGATGGCGTTTCCGAATTTGTAACTGTTATCCAATACCGATTCGTCTTTGACGAACCTACCTCTCCCAGACGTTTGACCACGTGATTGCGAATCATCCTGCATAATTTTGTGTTACGGCTATTTTTGCAACGTATGCTCATATGCTCATTTCCTGTTAAAGCCTGGTTTTTCTCAAAGGATATTTTTTTTTCTGTTACGGATTTGTTAATAATTATTTAAGTTTTCTTGTGACGTTGTATATTGTCAGTTTTAATGTGTTTTGTGAATTTTTGCTAATTGCAAAAAGCTTAGCAATCGTTTTAATGCTATGCCATTTTTGGTCGCAGATTCGATTCAGATCTAAAAGTGGATAGTGGATGTAAATGTGAATTAAATTGTAAGAAAAGGGACTACATGACATGAATTTATCACTTTTTGTACTATTTATTCACTTTTTTCTGAGAAAAGTCTACAAAAAGTGATAAATTCATGTCACGTTTTGAAGTTCCGAAGTTAAATTTAATTCTTCTTAAACTGATATAATTTTCAATAAATGATCTTCAGTTGCTAAGTTTTTATCAAGTTCTCGGGGTAAAATATAAATGCAGTCAATACGGTAATGTTATTATTAATAGTAGTAGCTTAACTACTGCTATTAACAATAATAATAATAATGCTGAATATTGTTCTGTGAAATTATGAGATAAACAGTAATGCTATTATTTACCAGGCATGTATCAAAAATAGTCAGAAAATTATAAATATGAGAATGTGGCTTTGAATAGTGATCCCACCATGTGAAGGAAAAGGTATCTGACTTGCTACATGTGTCATTCAAGCAGTAAAGCATATAAGGATTGATAGAGGACTCCAACGGATGTCTTTACTACCATTCCAGTATTTGTATTTGATTCTCATATATAAATATCGAACTCAAGAATGTTAATTTACATATTTTAAGAAAATTCACAGACAAACATCTTAGTTCATTTATGATAGTTTTAAACATTACTGTAACCTTTTCATCAGCTCAGAAGAGTTCATGAGCTCTTATAATAACTCAGAAGACTATATGTATATATAAATATAATATACGCAAAGCGAAATGGCAGCGAAAACGTTTCTTCATTTTAAAATTACAATTTATCATAAGTGCAAAATTAAATCGCCTTTGTTAAATAACCATTTAATTACAGTTTAAATTAGAGAAAATGAGCTGGAATAATAAATTCTAATTGACTGTGGTAAACAGAAAAAAGTGAAGGCAAGATATTTACATTGTTTAATTTAAGTTTAGATTTCATCTTGTCTTGTCTGTAGTGTCCTGACAACTGGTAAAGAACAGCTCTGCTCCTTCGTCTTTGATAGTGATTTGATGGTAAACAACCTTCCAGTTCCACCTGATTTTCAGTCACTGAAATGAAAAATAATTGCTAAGTTAACATTCAAAATATGTAACCGTATTCTTCTAAATGTAATAAATATTCGCACAGAAGTTAGCATTTTCATTATTACCCTTTTGTATTTGAAATATATATATTCATTAGATGCAACAGATGTTAAAGTCTGGTGAACTACGTGCCATGCATGTGTCTTAAATCAGAGACCTTATAAATAAAGAGCATATATAACCTTATAAATAAAGAGCATATTATGAAACTTCGTTTCCATGAAACTTCGTTTCATAATCTGAGACCTTAAAATAAACAATTCTTATGTTTTAATAGCTTATATTAATTTCTAACTATTTTATTATGTATTTATGTAACTTTCACATTAGCAAAATCAACTGAGTGTTGGGCTTTATCTTGAAATCAGAGAACAGTGGGTTGGAGGGGGGCGCGCAATTCCATGTTTGTACATAATTTTCAATTTTTGAAAAATCGGAAAATTGACAGCTTGCAATTGAGCAGAGTTTTCAAAATTCCTTCCTCCCTTTTTTACAATCACAGGAACTTGAAGTAGGCGGAAGGGCAATACAGTTTGAGTAATAAACATGACGGCACATGATACCAGTTATCATGTATAAGTGGTATATTGTGCTGTTGGTAACAAACATATAGGGTATTTTCTCCTTCCTTTCTGCATGCATACGTGATGTAACGGCAACACACTCGGCGCGTATTCGAGAGGTCCAGGCTTGAGTGTCGGCGAGAACATTGCTCATTCTTCGTGTTCCCTAATTAAAAAGTCCAGTGACTCTACACTGGCGGCTGAACTAAAAGACGGTGGGTGATGATGCTTCACTACCAGAATTTGGTGATTAGGTCCTTTAATTCCCAGTCACTCTTTAAAAGAGGGAGTATATAAGGTATTTTCTTCCTCCTTTCTGTATGCCTTCATGCTATAACGGTAGCACACTCGGCGCGTATTCGAGAGGTCAAGGTTCGCGCCACGGTGAAGGCATTGCTCCTTTTCAGTGTTTCCAATTTCAGACATCCTAATGATACTACAAGCAGAGACGTTAAAAGGATCTATTAACAGAAACCAGATATGGTACCTGAATATCTACAGTAAACCTGCTTCAAGTATCCAAATAAATTCCTATATCTTGCATTTCTCAACAAAAATAAGATAAATTATACTTTTCTGCGACAGAAAAACATTTCATTGTTCTGAGCTTTAGGAAAATTTTATGGAAGTTAACAGATTTTTTAATTTAATGTAATATTATTAAATGGGCGTTAACCTGTTTCAAAATGTTGTGCTATCTTTTACATCTGATAGAGCAAATTACTCGTTATCTGAGCTCCATTTAACATTTACCGAAAACTGCAGTAATCTCTTTAGCTATATGGAGGTACGGCACGCCAAATGTTACGCCAAACAGAGCAACGTTCTTCATTTCTGTCACTTTTACTTGTTAATACTGAAGCTTATTGAAATCCCATTGGCTTGATGGTAGGAGAGCCGACCGCTATACCCTTGGGATTGAGATCGAATACTGGAAAAAGACATGGATGTTTGTAAGTGCATAAGTGTCACTGGATCGTGGGAATACTTAAAAGCAGTCGATTAGAAAGTTCCCTCGAGAGGTTTGTGTTAGGGAAAGAAGAATGGGAGACCTTTGGATTCCGCTTCCCTGTAGAACTTGAAAATTGGGATGCTGTTGGAAATTCCTTACAGTCACCTATAAAGCAATCCAAATTCAACCCAAGACAAAATTCGTGGGCCTTATTCGGCTGCAGGTTGACATCAGGAAGAGTAGAAAAAGTTTACAAAATCATCAGTTCATGCATTTCTGAAAGAAAATGCATTTCCTAGCTTAGCTTAGCAAGTATTTTTTCTGAAATCCAATAAAATAGGAAAATGCACGTGCTTACTTCATGTTCACTCCATTTTATCAGAATCAGCAATAAAAATAATCTTCTCCCTTTGTATAGATAATTTATTGCGTTTGTAAATTTTTAAACTTAGCAGTTTCTTATTTTGCAAATATCCAAATATGCATTTCTGTTATAATCCCATTTGCCGAATCTTAAAGGTGTTTAGAGTAAAAAATTAATTTTCTTTCTTTCTTTGATAACTGTAGGCTTTAAAATAAATTATTACCGTTCCATTTATTGTGGCACCTACAAAAGTTAAAAGAACATGCCTATTTGACTTCCTGTGACATTTTTCTTTTCTTTTTAAATCGGCTTGATTTAGTTAAAATATATGCTGTCGAACAAAACATAATCAATACTCTTAGTGAATGGCAGAGTTAAATTAAAGCAAACATGTGACGGGATCTCTCAGAAAGCAGTTCAATTTTTTAGTAGATTTTCAGCAGTAAATATAAGATACTAAAATGTATTTAAGAAATTTGTGGAATAAAAATTGTTAGGTATTTAAGATGGGAAAATAATAAAAAAAACTATTTCGCTGCTTTTAGAAAAATAAAAATATGAGCCTGATTAGCCTCTTTTATTTTGAATAATTGCGATGGTAACAGAATTTTCTCTGTTCAGTTTTTAGCGTTGTTGAATGTTGCTATAAAAGAAAAACCACGTCGCTTATTCAAGGTATTCCTGCGGTGATTTTGAATCGCTCTAACAACATGACCATTTATGTAACTAAAATAACTTGGTGGAATAGGGTTAATGAGTGCAACGACCTCTTGTATTACTTGCGCTGTTAGGGTCTTAACCGACACTGCAGATTCAGCTTCACTTTCCTCTTTGAATCCTCGGGCAATTGTTCAGCTAGCTGCTCTTAATCTTTCGTTGAAAGCTCTCAACTATTCTAAGCTTGGAGCATTAATCGCCCCTCAGACCATTCCAGCGCCTACTGAGGGCAGTGCCGCCCACTTAGAATGTCACTGTTAGCACCACTGAGACATATTTCATTTGCTATCCCTTTCATTTCCAGTCTTATTCTTACAATTTTAATGTTGAGTTTGTGTGCATTCAAGCTGAAGCCTAGCTAAGATTTACATAAACCAGTTGTTTCCAACTTACTTTTAAATGTTTGTTTGTTTATTTGTAAGTTTTCATTTGTGTTAATTTAGTTTATCTGGTCGATTGCTTTTTCTTTTGTGTATGATTATTTTAATACTTTGCTATCATTGAATCATTTGGTGTTACAGTTTTATTATAATGCAGGGAAAATCTATAGGTAAGTCTGGTAAAGATATGCTAGATAAATGGCGATGGATTTAACAGATCAAAGTGACGCGGATGTGAAATGCAGCAAAGTAAACCGAATAATAATTAGAGACTGATATGATATGCCAGTCAATAAATACACAGAAGAGCCTAAATAAAAGAGAAACACACAAATTATTCAGCAACGTAATCTTAGATTGGCATTTATACCGAAAAAAAGAATCAACTTTTAGGGAGATCTCTTCTTCTTCCCCCAAAAAAGTTGTCTTAAATTTTTGCTTTGCCTTCAGAAGAATAAACCAAGTCTGATCGCCCTCGAAATCTATAGAGTTTCATTTAGAATTTATGTTAATCTGAGATTGCTTTTTCCCCTAATTTTAAGGAAAGATGATTGCGTAAATCAGGGATGTAGAAAAAAGTAGATATAAATTTAAAAATAAAAAAACCGGGAACATTCATTTCCTGAAATTGTGAGCTTTGTAACCTTCTTGAACCATAACGCAAGGTTAAGATCAGTATTTTAGAATTCTTTCATGAATGCACAGATAATGGTAAAATCTCACTAAAGCAATATTAACTATCTTCGCTACGCTTCAGTGTGAATAAATGTTATAATCTGGTACTGCAGAATCCGCGAGTGAGCAAGTAAAGATAGCTGTTTCATATGAAAGGCTGGTGTAACCGAGAGAAGTTTCAAAAGGCTTAAAAAAATTACTTTTTACTCCAAACAGGTTTTGTCTCTGAGGGACTATTCTTTTCGTTCTGTAATTTCGGTCGAATCACTCTGAATGTCCGTTTCACTTTTCAAACTGTTGCCACCAAATATTATCGCCCTGTATTATATTTGAAGAAATTAAATAATGAAGAATCTGCATAATGTATGTATGTTTCTCGCATTGTGATAAAACAACGGTACCTAGAGCTATCCAATTTTGAATGACATAATCCTACTGCGAATATGGGCATCTGGAAGCCCAAATTTGAAATTTGGAATTTGTTTTGTTATCGATTTCATATTTTGTAAAACTTTAACGAATTTCTGATTAACAAACTCAAGGATTTCAAAGCGAGCAATGGCAATACAGAAATTTAGATGTGGCATTTAGATACGTCGTTAGATAGGTTAGATGCGTAGGCAGCGACATTCGTGATTCGAATAGTGTACACTAGTGCGTACATAAACATTTTTTGGTGCTATATGCCGGGAAGTCGGCTAATATTCGAAAATATGGATTCGTAAGTATGGATAGCACGGTGTGAAGTGTGCGAAGCCTGCGAAAAACAGGTAGGATAAGTTTTCTATTTTAAAGTAATTATGGAAGATCCTGTCGCTAAGCTTAAATCGAAACGCAAAGTATTAAGGACGGCAGTGTCCCAGGTACTAAAGAAAATTGAGACAGAATTAAGCAAAGATGACGTTAGTATAAATGTATTAGAAGAAACTTTAGACATATTAAACGAAAAGGCAAAAACTCTGAGTGATTTAAACACTCAAATAGAACAGGATTTCAAGGTCCCAGAGGATGAATTTGAACTTGAAGTTTCATTCGCTCTAGAATATGAAGAAAAAATCCAACTGTGGCAATTTAGAGCAAGAAAAAAATTGAGAGAATTACACAAACTCGAAAATTCGGATCCTAATGAAACCGCTTTAGATTCCAAACTTGAAAATAATGAAATTATTCGCCTTCCAAAATTGACTATCGCTAAATTTTTTGGTGATTCTAGCAATTGGCAGGAATTTTGGAGTGAATTCGAGGCAGCTATCCATAGCAATGACTCATTATTGAAAATAAATAAGTTCAGTAACTTAAAATCATTACTAGGT